AATTAAAGTTAGAAGGTGAAAAAATAAATAAAAATTAAAAGTGATGAGACTTGACATTATTCAAAATGGATTTCCTTTGGTCTTTGGCTGCCTCTGACACTGAAGCTCCATCGCTCTCTTTAAAGGAGCCAGTCCATATTAAAGCTGCACTAATCAATGTCTTTATATTAACTGCGGGTCAGATGGCTACCTGGAATCTGAAAGTGATCACTTGTATGACCCCACAGAAAACTACCCTTACCCTTTACCAGCGATTCCAGGTCTTGATAGCACCTTTCAGCTCGTTGCACTGGTTTAACAGCCTGCAGCTTTAATGTGTTAGTTCAGTCTCCCTATTTCCAGCCACAGTTGGCAGCTTTTTTAAGCTAATAAAGTGAATAAATAAACTCACTATACACTACGTGCCCAGCACCAGGGAGAGGAAAGATGCAGTGATCGACTAGTTCTGATGATCACAGTGGAGCATGTAACAGCTAAAGAGTCATCTATTTCCTCAAGAGTTGGTGAAGACTAACACAGTCATTGAAAGGCGAATGAATATTGAATTACATTTTTCACATACAGTAACAAAAAGACAGCTCTGAATGTACGCTAATGTTGCTCTATGTCTGCTCAATGTGTAAATCTGTAGCTGTTGTACACTGTGCCCAAGTGTTAAACAAAATAATTAATTACAGGAATAATAGGTGGGGTTTCTTTTACAGAATTACAGACTTGTAATTTGGGGATTTAAAATTAAATGTGACTTGACTTGAAATTCTTTCAAATGAACCTCTTATATGATTTCTTCCTTACATTTTAGCTTCAATGTCACTAAGCATGAAGGTTCATTCTTAACCTTGAAATTGATAATTTAATCCCTATCTGAAGTCCATTTACTGTTTTCTCCAAAGAATTTAACAGTATCTTTGCTTTTTGGGTCAAATCTTTTTACCTGAGGTTTAATAATAATTCTGCTCTTCTTAGATATTCTGGCAGATCAAGTCAGTCCCCTCCTGCAGGATCCGGACATCTTACCCTTCACCAGCTATCCTGGCATGCAGTGCCCGTCCATGGAGCCAATTATGTCCCCCACACCATACTACTCCAGTCAGAACTACTACCCTCTGTACAATGGAGATGAATGGTATTCACACACAGGGATATATGAACAGAGGAAGGGACCCTTGGAGTTCGGCTATGATGCTGAGATGGAGGAGGTTTCTGCTTTGGTACCTGCTGTGTGCAAGAGGAGCCGGCACATGCCGCAACCTGGAAGGGTCAAAGGGGAGGAACTGTGTGTTGTGTGTGGAGACAAGGCCTCTGGATACCACTATAACGCTCTCACTTGTGAGGGATGTAAAGGTGAGAGGTGAAACACTTGCACACATACTCAGAAGTTGAAAGTTCAGCTTTTACTTCTGAAAGATATAAAATATCCCAAATAGGGTTGCAGTTAGTGATTATTTTCATCATTGGTGAATATGTCAGTTAATTTTTCAGTTAATGTAATTGTTTTGGCCATAACATATAGTGTCAGAGGAAAAAAACTGTATGGTGGTTGCTTGTTTTAGTCAATCAACAGTTCAGTTGGTTTATTTTCTGTTGATCAACAAATGGATTAATTAACTAATCATTTCATGTCTAATCCAAAAACACAGTTATTTACAGATGGCCCACAGACAAAGAATTGTTATTAACTTATGACAGGAATGTTCATATCTATGGCTGTTACAGAGTCATATGTGAGTGTGTGCTGAGTAAGACTGTGTTTGCGCCAGAGCTCTTCACCACCAGGATGTTACTGTCATGGTTTTTGTGCATATTAATCCTGACTGAGGAGCAGGAATTGATCATCTTCTGTAAGGAAAATTTCTTATTAAGAATACACTCTGATGCTGCTGTTGACTTACAGTATTATTTGCTGTTGTCTAATCTTACTTAAATACTACTACTGCGGCTGTATAGAGTGGCTGATTCCATAGCCTATTTAATTACCTGTCAGGTGTACAGTACATTATATCTATGCATCTATGCACTTATTAAAGTATATCTGAGTGGATCTTACAGAGCTGAAGAATGTCCTCAGGCTGACCGAAATAGTATAAAAATAAATGAGGAAATGTTATTGTAAGAGCAAGCACAACCACTGACCTTGTAAAAATGATGCTTGGTACAGTGGCACTGTGGCCTTTAGCAGCTCCTTGGCATGTTTTTATGACCGTGTGAATTTGCTGTGATTCCTGCCAGATGACAGGGTGAATGGACATGAGTGTAATTCCACACGGTGAGGCTGGACAATGCCAGCTGCATTTGCACCTGGTATTGTCAGGCCATTTGCCTGAGAATAGGCTCAGGTCTACCTGGTACTGCTGCCAGATTGGGTTCCCTCTCAGCTTTCTGCTGCACAATGCAGAAGCTACCTGAGCTCAGTTACGCTAATGCACGTCATTGTGCTTAATGTTGTATGTCAGAATGTGTGTACCCAAGTTATTCCGTGTGTGTACAGTATGCGTGTGTCTTGCTCTGTTGCTGTCCCTGTGTGGATCATTGCCCACTGAGTTCACAGGATTCGCTCTGTGACATTATTAGAACAGTATATAAACCACAACTTGTAAATCATCCTTTCTGCTAAAAAAAAATGCTGGAGTCCACATGACTCACTATGCAGTGATGGATATATTGATCAGATGATCAGTGTTCCTTTGAGAATTAAAAAGTTCATAAGAAATTAAATAAAAACTAATGAAGCCAAATGCTCCATTTCACAGTGTTGTATTATTACACATATTGATTATTACTATTATTATTAGTAGTAGTAGTAGTAGTGGAAATAACATGTAGTATAATTTGCAGGGTAACAATGCATCATAAAAAATAACTAGTTATGGGAGTAATAGGATGATATATTGGCCAGTATTAGCTTTTTGCAGATATATTGATATTGGCTTAAATATAAAATAAATAAATAAAAATCACAGTACAGAAATTCCAAACATGCTTTTTGAGGTCATATAAAAACAGTGTCATTACTAAATATTTTGTCTGCAAATAACAAGTAGTAAAATATCCCACTTAGTGCATGAATAATGGTGGCACCCCACTGGCCCATGGGTTGAGGAGTTGCTCATGTCATTCCCCAACATTTTCTTCTCACATTTCCTGTCATCTCTCTATTGTCCACTATTTAGTAAAGGCATAAAATATCCTGCAGTAAATGATTAATAACAACCTAAGTACTAATATTGTTATTAGCCTTAAAAATACATCAGTGACTGGACTCTTGTACTATCTGAAATGTAGTGGAGTAGAAGCTTAAAGTTCAATAAAATGATAATAATTAAGTGCAAGGTTACTTTAATAGTACTTAAGTACAATGGTTGAGCAAATGTATTGTACAGTATGTGTTGTCCAACGGAACACACTGTAGGTAGTCCCTCTTTACGATATCTCAAAATACTAAATGGCTTGGCTTAGCATCGCCATAATTCAGTAGCTCACCCATGATAATGCCTTCGTTTTCCATGTTCAGGCTTCTTCAGACGGAGCATAACAAAGAACGCTGTGTATAAATGCAAGAATGGTGGAAACTGTGAGATGGACATGTATATGCGCAGGAAGTGCCAGGAGTGCCGGCTCAGAAAGTGCAAAGAGATGGGTATGCTGGCTGAATGTGAGTATTACAGACAGGATGCTGATACAATTGTCAATCAATACGATGGGGAGTGAAAAAACTGTGGTAATACTTCTACTTGCTTCAGTCATGCATCAGTTCAAACAGTGTTCACATGCACACACTGTGCTGCCATTTAATAGTATCAAAAGAACCTCCTTGGTAAGCCCTCATTTCCCATTCTGACATGGGCTATTAAGTTTTATTGGGGGATTGAATATCACATAGTAGACAATAGACAGGTTCAGTTTTTGTTACTGTTACAGGAACTGGAGTAGTGAAACAAACACCTTAAGCTTCTCCTAGGAAAAAAAATGCCATTGCCAAAATGCCATTAAAAGAAATTGTCTAACGAATTATGAGTTGAAAGTGTCTTAAAAGTTTGAAACGTTGCCTTTGTCTCTTGGGGAATGTAGTCAAAAGTATTTTTGGTAATACTTTAGTTATCAGGGGTTTTTTTTGTAACATTGTACCAAACTACAGGAAGGTTTACAGGAAACTTTCAAGAAATTATTAGAACATAGAGATCCTGTACAATAAGGCATAACCACATCTTCAAACTGGAAGCATACCTCAGTGTGAGGACAGAAATCATAAACAATATACTGTATTTACTTTCTCTGAGGTCTTTGGAGGATTACTGGGTCTATTAAGAGCTGCTAAAAAGAGCAGGAGGACTGACTGGGCTCTTGTTGCTCATAAATAGTGCAGGGAAGTTGTGATGAATATTGCAGGGTGGCAGGCGTTCATGACCCTACCTATCAACTGGTCCAACTGGACCTCAACAAACAGACATTTTTGGCCACAAATGCTAACTTACTGGAGAAGATGTTGTATTATTTCTTTGATTACTCTCCATTCCCTCCTGTCCTCTTGGGTCTTTAGCAAAAAGGGAATATTTTTTATTCAATTAAACTTCCAAAGTAGGCATAGAATATTAATATTACTGCATTATTATTACTAAGCATTATGATAATGCAGGACAGTAAACGTAACTCGACTGACTGATAAAACAGAAGTTAGAATAGTGGAATAATTAGAACAAAAAGTAATTGATAACAAGAATATGAAGAGTTTTGTGATCATATAAATGTATGCTTTAACCTAGAGATCACTGACGGGTAAAGATTACATTACAGTGGACAAAATATGTACTGTATATAATCTTGAGATTGTAATGGGGAAAAAAAAATACACAGCTATAATTAAAATAACAGAACTCACTAGTGTTGACTGGTAATATTTCATACAACTTTAATATGGCCTCATGAGAAATGAAAATGATCATTTATAATAGCACGGCTGTTGAATAAAGAGCTTTGATAGTGAAGCCTTTGTCACCGCCGGCAGGTCTGCTGACAGAAATCCAGTGTAAATCTAAAAGGCTACGGAAGAACGCAAAGGCCTCCCCAGGACAGTCAACTGGAGACGACACAGAGGGTGCAGACAACACAGAAAGCAAACATGTCACCTCGACCACCACAGTGTCAAAGGTAGTCACAACCTCTGCCTTCATTTAACATATTTCTCCAGATATGCTGTCATGTAAACTGTGACAAAAAAAAGATCTCTCCACTTAATCATGTGTTGTTTTGTTTTCTCTTTTTAAATCCAGGAAAGAGTTGAAATCACTAAAGAACAGCAGGCACTCATGAAAGTCATTGTAGATGCTTATAACAAACATCAAATTCCTCAAGATGTGACCAAAAAACTGGTATATTACCCTTAATACTGCTTCTAACCTTTTGTTCAGATTATCTGAATTGATGCCATCACAAAGTTTAACAGATGAGCAGCTTACAGGTGGCAACAGAAAGTGCAGTTCATGTGTACCAAGCCAGTGCAGCTATCTGAAGTTTATCCACTAAAGTTTGCGTTATTACATGTTTAGAAATGGATTACTTTTATGCCTTGATAAAGTCAGCTCACACTGCCATGGCTGAGGCCGCCCTCTTCACAGATGATCCGATCTGTATCATTGCTATTTACTACTGTTGTTTCCCCCACAGCTGCAGGAACAGTACAGTGTAGAAGAAAACTTCCTCCTGTTGACAGAAATGGCAACGAATCAAGTTCAAGTTCTAGTGGAGTTTACAAAAACTATTCCAGGTATTATTCCTCGGTTTGCAGAAGCTGTAGAACTGACTTGGCCAAAGGCATGGTAGTGTAACTAAAGTACAAACTGCTTTGCGATTACTTGTCAGTTGTAATGAGTGGTCTTGTGTCTCGCAGGCTTTCTGTCTCTGGATCATGAAGATCAGATTGCTCTGCTTAAGGGTTCGGCTGTGGAAGCCATGTTTCTGCGCTCAGCTCAGGTTTTCAGTACAAAGATGCCCAATGGACACACGGAAGTTTTAGAGGAGAGGATACGCAAGAGTGGTGAGTAAACTGAAGTAGTATGCTAAACAGGTCTGTTCCTGAACAGCTCCATCAAAATTCACAATGTACAACTATTCAGTGTCTGCAGAAATAACTGTAGCCCTCCAAACTTTCATCACCCAACATTCAGTAAGTTTTAAACGTGGAACCACAGTAAACTAACTCCTGATTCATGACCTTCAGGAGTCTTGGTCATATGCTCCATTAGTTGCAGCAAACTGCACCTGCAGCATCTCATGACATCTGTAGTTCCACCTTCAGCCAAGCAGCCCGGTCCAGTCAGTCATCCTTTAATAATTGATCTGACTGATCTGTGCAACATAGGGAGATGTGTGCTGACCTGCTGATCTCTGGCTGAGTGTAGGTTACACACACACTCTCACTGGCTACCGTTTCAATCGGTTTAGATGTACGTATGTGAGAATGCTCCCAGGTAGAGCAGAGCATTCAAGACAAACCTTACGCTTTTGTGGTACTGGGTTTAAATTATTAAAACACACATGTTGATTCTGGTCTTGACAGGTTTTGTAAAATATACACTGTTTTATTCTCTCTCCATTTACACATACTGTATATTTGATTTTAAATAGTTTATGGCTGCTGGTTTAAAAAGTATTTGTGACCCTCCCCCCAGCTCCTCCGGGGAAATGCCGAGGCGTTCCCAGCCCAGCCGAGAGACATAGTCCCTCCAGCGTGTATTTGTATGTATGTGAGGTGTCATTTTGTCAACCAGGCTGGACAGTTAAACAGGCAGCAGCGATGTGTGTGCGTCACTGGGTCCCTCAGCACAGCTCTGGTATGAATGCTGGGGATAAGAGATATTCACACTAAAGGCCAGTCTGGGAGAATAAGGGCGCAAAGCTGTCTGAAGAGACCATTGTTCCTTATCAAAACATCAAGTGCTATTATGCACTTCTCTCCCTCAGAGCCCCACTGGCATTTCTGAATGCTTGATGTCCAGGCAGACAGACATCCTCTGCTAGTTTGAAGAGCATCAAGAGCAGGACCTGTGGCCAGTGTGCCAAAGCAAACTGAATGCAAACATTTGAAATCATATTGTATAAAGAACAGTGCACAATTTTCATCTTTACTAATTACTAAATCATTACCTAAAGAAGAAAAACTGATAAATGTGTATTTGTTAAATGCTGAAGGACCCTGTAGATCCTACTGCATAGCAGCTACATACAAACAGGAATTATCCAATCAAAGTTAAGACATTATGCATTTCAGTTCCAAACTTCCTTTTACATTCTAACCCCGTTCCACTCCCTCATTTTACAGTCATGACTAAAGTAGAGAGAACTGATTTTACAGTACGGTACTTTTTTCTCTCTCTCAGGTTTGGTCGCTTTCTTCCCTTTGTCTTAGTAAATCACATACATTTGGGTCTCAGGTTCAAAGGTATACTGTTCAGTACATTCATAAATTAAGTCAAGAATATTTTTGCTCCATGTTTTTTTTTATTTCTGCTCTTTCTAAGCTCTGATCTTTATTTTCTTCCTCTTGTATTTTGTACTCCTCCTACTCACTTCTCTTCTCCACTTCATCCATAACTGTCACCTCAGTGCACCTGTCATGGTGTTTCTGTATTACCAGTATGTAACAGCCCTTAAGCATTAAAGTGTCAAGTGCATTTTGCAGACCTGTGACTGTGGTTTGTTTTTTGATTTATCATATTGACTATGTGATGTATCATAATGTTTGTTTGATTCCACTGTTAAACAACTGGGGAAAAATCTAAAAATATAGTATAGAAAAGGTAATTATACTGGAAGCTGTACTGTAACTTAGTCTAAACAGTGGTTTCTCATTAGTCTAGCTGTGTCTGTGTCATTATTGATTTCAATGTGGCATTTATTGGCAAAGATTAATAGTGTATAGGAAAACTGTAACAAGAAAAGTTGCCCTGAATTTTGGTAGTATTGCTCTTGCTGTTTTTTTGTTGTGTTTTAACCCCTTTAAATTAGGGCAGCATTGTTGTGGTACTGTATATGAGCTGAAACCACTGTCAGTAATTAAACCAGGGCATTAAAGCACCTCATTACATTACTAATGTTATCACTGATCCAAGGTCTGTACTTGACATTTTACAGTTTTTAAGATGAGCTTGCTTCAAAATAAATAATTTTGAGAATTGATTACTAAGTCTAAAATATTCCTTTTTCTTCAGGTATGTCAGAAGAATTCATGACACCCATGTTTAACTTTTATAAAAGCATCGGCAGCCTCCACATGGTGCAAGAGGAACAGGCTCTCCTGACAGCCATAACCATCCTGACACCAGGTAACAACTCACTCATCATCATTCATCTCACTACATAAGGTGTTTTTCCAAAGTCAGTATCTACAATCATTCATAAGACTGATGTATCAATATGTTCACTCTCTATCTGTGTCCAGACCGACCCTACGTGAAGGATCAGCAGGCTGTTGAGAGGCTACAGGAGCCCATGCTGGACGTGCTGAGGAAGCTATGTGTCCTACAGCATCCGAAGAAGCCGCAGTACTTTGCTCAACTCCTGGGTCGTCTGACGGAGCTCAGAACGCTCAACCATTACCACGCTGAGATGCTCACATCCTGGAGAATGAATGACCAAAAATTTACCCCGCTTCTCTGTGAGATCTGGGATGTGCAGTGACACAACAGGAGGAGGGAAGAAAGCTGCAGCCTGGGGATAATAGCATGGACTTTTAACTCGCAAGACAAAGTCGTTGTGCAACTACAGTGCATATTTATACTGGATGATGTGTGGAATTAAATCCCTGCACAACAGGTTTGTCTCTGTGTTGCCTGACCTTGATGGCATTAGTCACAAGCTGACTCATGTTGTGTTTATTCTGCCCATGGATTTTTTTTTTTTTTTACAGCTCAGACCATCATCATGTCTATTTACTGTATGATTTAACCAACTCAGACTTGTTGAACTGTTTAAAATTACGGCTTGTTTTTCAGACACAAAACTATGCAAAAGTCTGGATTAGGCAATGTTGTTTTTTTCTTGAAAGCCCAAGAAATTAGTCAGACAAGTACAAACACTGGAACGTATTCAAAGCAAAGATGGTGCTCTTACAAAGTGTAAGGTTTAACAATGGGTCCATTTATTTTTTACTCGCAAAACTTCATAGAGCTTACTACATGTACATGCTGTCAATTTGCAAAAGTTGTATGCTCTCAATAAATAACAAAATTAACAGGCAAAAGTTTTATATTGAAACAATCTTAAGTTCATTTTCATACTTATTAGTCAGCTCAGCAGAAGTATTAAATCAAGGAGGAGTTCACATACAGATATAACATCTGGTGCATCTGGAAAATTATTATGCTTTTTCCTCCTTAATTAATTTTTCTGAAATTGTATCTCAATAAACTAAACTATGCTCAACTTACTGGAAAACACTGACTAAATAATAAAATAGGAATGTCTAAAGTTTTGATAATGAAATCTTCCACTGTATAACCGACAACTAACAATAAGAACATTTACTGCCTCGTGTGTGCCTTCATTTCAACCTCTGATAATAATTGCTTTCAGTGGGACATCAGAACAAATATGCCTCCGTTAAAGGGTCATAAATGTGTTTCTGCATGTTTTAGCTAATTTTCTATAATTAAAAAATGTTTAACTTTGCTGATGACTATTTTTATAAGTAAACTGTTACACTTATGATTTGGTTTTTATGATAAATGTTTGGTTCCTTGGCGCATTTTTCCTTTATTTAAACCTCTTTCTTAGGTATTGTGACACCTGGCATCCTACCATTATTACTCCATATGCATTTATTAATGGTTGCTGCAGTAACAACAGTATGTACCGTAACAGACACCAACATCGATTAAAGCATGTAGCAAAATTATGAACAGTGGGTGGAGCACCACCACCTGGAGTGATACAGTAGTAAATCATCATAATTGTTCTTTACTTTCAGTGCAGGTTAGTGCAGTACACATAGACGTAACACTTAATTTACATTGTACCCATAATAATATTTTGTTTTATTTTGCTTAAAAGAATAATCAAGAATGTTGTGAATTCATTCAAGTGGTTAGATTAGCCTGAAATGCACAAAAAGCATGAACACAGACACAAATATATCCATAGTATAAAGGCTTTGTATGATGTATCTTAAAGTCTCATTTTTACAGAAAGCTAATTTTAATGTATCATTTTACAGCAAATAAACTTTCTATCATTTACATAATTGTCCTCATGCAATAGAATTATAATTTGTATGCATAAAGAAACTTTTAAAAAACTTCTAAGCACTAAAAATGTAAGCATATTTGTGAACCAAAAGCACATTTTATTACTTATTCAACAATTTATTATATGTAAACACATGTACTTTTATAGCACTTCAAAAGCAAAAACAACTACCTCATGTGCTGGTTAGTGTTCATGACTGTGTCACAGCGCCATCTTGTGGAGCAATGTGACAACAAATATTACCCCTGGAATTACATTATTTACCATAAAGAAAATAAAATGCAAGCAAACTAAGCAGTAAATGTTTTTGCAGTGTACTGGTGACAGATTCATGATTTTTTTGGATGATACAGAAGCAGATGAAGTAGCAACGTATAGATTTTCAGTAAAACCAACAGAACCTTTTTGTCTTTTTCTGCTATTTTTAAAAAGACATCATGAAGGGCTAAAACATTTAGAAGTGAGTTCTGTCCTGGTTGGCTTGAGGTTTTATTTCAGGATAAACAAGGAAACCAGAAAAGGTGGTGTACCTCCCCTGGTTGCTGTAGACGGCGTAACGCTCGTCCTGCTGACTGTACAGCCAAACTCTGTCACCCCGACGGAGAGACAGCAGCAAACTCTGACTCTGCATCTCCCGTCTCTTCGATGTGTCCTCATCAAACACCATCGCCTGCACTTCACCCTTCCCAGTCATCAGCTTCACAGAAACAGCCTTACGAGGATGTTTCCCCACAGTGAAAGCAAAGAAGTAGGCCCCAGGGAAGTGGCAGGTGAACAGGCCTGAGGTTTTGTTGAAATGGCCTCCAGTGTTGACATATTCCACATCAAAGGTCAGAGGGGTCTTGTCCTGGTGCCTGCTACTCTGCCCCATGAGTGTGGATGTCCGTGCCACAGAGAAGGCAGACCGTGGCTGCTCTACTGTCTGACTCCTGGCCCAGGGATCAGTCTGAGGTGGGCAGTTTGGGTAGGACAGCCCTGGTGGGGACAGATGGTTGCTGATGTAGCTGTGTGGAGAGATGTCAGGATAGATGAGGTAACCAGAGAAGGTGATGTATGGACCAGCATTGCTGTACAAAGCATACTGAGGACTCTGCTGTAAAAGTAACCACACAGTGTCCATTTCCTTCAAACTTATCATGACACTCTGGCTTTGAACTTTCCTTCCTTTCTTGCGGTAGTCATCATACGCTATAGCCTGCACCTCCTGCACATTCTTCACCAGTATGACTGAAAGCATTTTCTTTGGAAACTTGCCCACTGAGAAAGAGAAATAGTATACTCCTGGGATGTGGCAGCGGAAGTGACCAGAGTCTGGGTTGAAATCCCCTCCGATGTTGACTAGGAGCCTGTTGAAGGTCATTGCCTTCTGCTTGCTTCCCACAACACTGCTGCTTCGTGTTGCAGAGAAAGCAGAACGGAGAACTGCTGTCATGGGAGGAGCATGAAGAGGTGAAAGTGGCCCAGAGCAGGTGAGCATGATGAATAAACAGGCCAGATAGCAGTGTGTGCACCAGTAAGCTAAGAAAAAAAAGGACAATTTACCAACATAAATTAATGAACAAATTAGTGAGATACTATATTTGAGATGGTTTTTTGCTTCCCAAAATAAAAGTCTAGTCTTGGGGTTCAACACATGGAGGTCGAGTTTCTGAGGGGGGTTGTGTAATGATTAAAGGAACGTTTGTGGAAATAATCTTTTTCGCCTTCTTGCTGAGAGTGAGATGAGACGATCAATACCACTCTCACATCTGTATGGTCACTATAAGTTACATCTGGACACATGTGGAATAAGTTCTTTTAGTCCTGATATCACACTAAGCTTAACCCTCTCTACAGTACAAAAAATGCTCCAAGTTGATAAGAAAGTCTGGCTAAGCCGTGACGAGGTGGCTCTCCCCCCACTCAAATCAAGCAGTCAGTGTGAGCAGGAGCCCCTGTAATGTGGCTGATATTGTCTGTGCATTGAGAGAAGGGACTAGATTAGATGCTGGTTCAACTGTTCCTGTGCGTGTTGAACAATGGAAAATTGGTGAGGTGGGGCACGGCAGGATCACTGCAAAGCACATATGAATCATTACTTTGAAATGTGTATGAAACAGCAAATGTGTAGTATTATTATCACATTTTCCTTAAAACTGTAGCATTATCAGTATTTTTAAGGGCTTCATTTGCTTACATTCCTGGAATTCTGTTATTTTACCTTGCCACATATTAGAGAAGTGACAGAGATTTATGCTAGGAAAACCATATCTGTCTTAAAAAATATTTTAAAAGCCATTAAAAATTTTAGCATACATGTACGAACAAAGATCAATTTAAAATCCAATAAGATCAGATTGGTCAGAAGAGCTTCCATGATCATGACTAAATGATCGAAAATCTTACACCTGAAAAGGCAACTGACCTGTAATTCTACACCTCAGTGTTTTCCCCTGCTGCCTATAATATACATATTTTACAAAAGACTATTGATTGGCTCCAGCCACCCGTGACCCCGTTTGGGACTAAGCGGTTTAGAAAATGGATGCATGGATGGACTGTTGGTAGATGTTTAGGGCTAAACTGTGGTGGCAAACCCAGGGTCAGGTTTAGAAAATGACTGCGTGCAAAAGAATAGTACTGCTCAGATACTCTCACTCACTACACTGAATTAGGCTTTTCAAAATACCATTTCAACATTTCAAAGCAACATCGCCTACAATGTAATATACTGTGTTCTTATTTAGTACAATTCACCATTGTGTAACTATAAAATTAAGGATGACTATGATAAAAAGGACAAAATTCAACAATCACTACAGTGTCCAGTGATTTATAAAACTGACCATGCTCTTGCCAAGTCAAATAAAAATATACAGTAAGTCTACTGTACATAACATTTATTTCATTTCTATTCCTGCACATATTTTGTACCAAAAAGATTAATCAATTACAGAAATATCTGACCCACCTGCCGGGCTACACTGATGCATACTGGACTTCTTCTTCTTCTTAATAATAATTTAAATAGAGCACTTCTTGGTTTGCTGCACCTGCTAGTGTTCATGTAACAGGTCTAACACCCAGAAGGACAAAGATTTTGTCCATACAGACAGACCTATGCCAGGAGGAGGAGCACCACACTCCCTCCAGTCTATACTTCAAATTCAAATGTAGTGCACAAATAGTGGAAATGCAGCTGCAACATTCAGCCTTATTGGCCAGAAATCTAATTTATGCTTTGTCTTGTCTGAAACAGAGGGAGTAGCAACGGGACACTAAGTGCAAGGTCAGATAAACCTCTGCATAACCAAGCAGATGGTGGAAAAATGCAGGTGAAAATGTATGAAACATAAAGTTCTACCGTGTTAATGTCGAAACAGATGCTGCAAAGAAACAAATGCATCCTTTAAGTGGGATGCAGTGGTACAGGCTAAACAAAGTGGAGGATAAAGTGTCAAATAAATAGGGAAAGTATTAAAACTGACATTTATGTAGGCTCTACGTCTGATGTATTTGTTGGTAAATTTCTAACGTTAATATTAACATAGGCCTTTTTAAACATCCATATTAACGCTGACTGTACATCAGCTAAATCACTGTGTCCCTCCGTCCATCGGATGACGCGTGTATGCTGTCAATGCAACGGAGGGAGAGGAACTAGAAGTCCGCTATTAAGACAAGATGGCCGGACTTCCCCGCAGGATTATTAAGGTAATCATTTTACACTTCAAACAGCGGCAGACGTGACTTTTCTGTCCTTGGATAAAAGTCCACATACACAGTCAATGCCATGTTGTTGCGCCCTGTGAATAGTTTGGTAAGCTAACATTAGCAACCAGCTCGATAGCAACTTCCGTTTCATTCCTATGCCCAAATGCACCGAGAAAAGGTGAGTTAAAATACATCAACGCTTTGTAAAGATGGTGTATAAATGTACTCACTGTCGGGATTATCGTTCCCAAATATACTTTCCAAGCCGAATAGAGTATATGCTGTATGATGCTAACAAACTAGCCGAGGTTAGCATAGTTATCTGGCAATTCAGACCTTGGCTAACTTCATCCCTATTAAAGCACAACAGCAACATGTAAACCCCCGTCCTAAGTTCACGTTTGCTCAAACTAAAAGTATAATACTGTGAGAATCAGGGTAACAGAATGCATTAGCTCGTTAAGTGCTCACTCATAAAACCATACATGCATCGTTTCATTAACCTAATTCGCTTCTTGCAGTATCCATGTTAGTAACAAGCTACGGATCAAATGTTAGCACTATAACTTAGTAATGTGATTGGTCGGTGGCTTTTGGAAGTCAGTGCTTTGCTTATCAGAAGAGCTGTCTTTTATTCTCTGTACCACCCAAACGCAGTTACATTATTTAAAGAATAATGTCCTGAGTTACAAATCCACTGTCCTACATTCACACTCGGAGAACAAGTATTTTCACAACTAATGACATAAATAGTACCATAATTGCTTTTTATTTTTCTGTTTGTTAGGATATTTTAGTTGACACATGAACTGTGTGTGTGAGAGTGTTGGGGGTCTGATTTCTTGGCAGCTTGCCTGTCTGTGTTATTATTATTATTATTATTCTTTTTATTTTAATGTTTCAAAAGTGCGGGACAGAAAGGTGAGGGCTGAAATAAGGCTCAGTAAACAGTGGAGACAGTTACACAGGTACAGTGCATTACACAGGGGTGTGAGCATTATTGTCTAAAGAGCCTTAATCCCTGTGTGTTTCCAGTGAGCAGCATTCCCATTTCACCCAGTATTCCTGATTATACCACAGAATGTGGGAATGGTCCACAATCCTTCCAGCAAAAGTGCGTGTTTAAAAAAAAAAAAAAAAAGCCCGTATGCAATTTTGAATGTAATACAGATGTCTTACTGGTTCCACATAACTCTGTGGTCCTTCCTCGTTGCCATAGCATTTTTATCTACCTTATTATTGGAACTATTGAGATTTTAAAAAAGTGTCATAGGAACATGAATGGTATGTAAAAATGGTTGCACGGGTGGGTTAGTCAGCAAACCACATACTGGAGTTGGTGGGAAAAGGTGGGAATGCTGGGAGCTGTACTTAGCAGACCAAGCCCTTGAGCCCTCAGAGCGTGTGACTGGGAGCCCCTCTCCTGTCTGTGTTTTCACTGCATGGTTTTGTCTGTGGGTTATCTGAAACATTTCAGGAATCTCGCTCGCAGCTGCATTCAGGAACACAATGTCAGACACAGCAGCAGCTGTTGGCAAGCCATTGTAGTTTTCATATGTAGTTGGTTTACCTTCTACCTTTTGAATGCAGACTATAACTTAAAGTGAAGAATTGCAGTAAATCTGTATGGTGTGCAATATACTGTTAATGGTATGAGGTGTGTCACTGATGCTGCATCATACACAAGCCCTATCAGACATCTGCTCCTCTTTTACAGTGCAGGTTTTTGTAGGGTGGGTGGCTGTCACTATAAGCCCCCCACGCCTGCTGTCAAGGCCATCATCCTTGCTTAGTCTGGGCAGCCGTCCAAACAATAGACTGATGTGTTTTTCCTCTCTCTTGCCTGCTTTAAGGTTACTGGAGTCATCTCATGGTCAACTTTCTTCCCTCTGCCTGTATCACCCTTATCAGCATTGTATACATTAAAATAAAGCAAACAAAGGCAAAATAAATGAGAACAAATAAAGCAAACTAATTTTCAAAACTTCCTGTCAAATGTGAGGAGTTCCTGTTTTTCTCTGTTCTGTATCAAAATGTCAAAGACTAATTAATAACTGGCAAAATAATCTGCTGATTATTTGATAAGGAAGACAGTTGTTTGTAGGAGCCTTATTAAATATCAATTATCCTGAAGGTTTTTGGACAGGAAACAAAGTTAGTACATGGTTTTATCCCTCAAAGAATTGAGCAGTAATTGTCACATATACCTTTCATGCACTTTCCATTTGCAAAAACCAAGGCAAAAATTACAGTATTGACAGTGGATTTGTTTTTTTTCTCATTCATTCTTTTTTTTGTACCAGGAAACTCAGCGTTTGATCGCAGAGCCTGTCCCAGGCATCATGGCAGAGCCAGATGAAGGCAACGCCCGCTACTTCCATGTGGTCATTGCTGGGCCTCAGGACTCACCTTTTGAGGGAGGCACATTTAAGCTAGAACTCTTTTTACCAGAGGAATATCCCATGGCAGCTCCTAAAGTACGTTTCATGACCAAAATATATCATCCCAATGTGGACAAGCTGGGAAGAATATGTCTAGACATTTTGAAAGGTAACTCGGTGCACTGTCATATCACAGTTACTGCTTGGACTCATAGAAGTTTGTGTGTTTCATGACCATATATGTCCAGGTATTTTGTGTGGTATACAATGTGTTTTACCTTAAAAGACATGCATGCTTCCTCTGTTGGCTCAAAATAGCAACAGAAAGAAAAATCTTCTTCCAAAGCCGCTGTAACAGTTACTTTGTCTTCTGGTCTGTTGAGTCGGGCTTGTTAGCATATAGGAGAGCCTGTATGGCCTGTGAATGAAGTGAGGGAGTTGCCAGTTTTATTTTGCCCAAAAGGTCAAGGGACTCTTAAATTACACTTGTGACCACTAACTGGATCTTTGTGCACCTTTAGATACATAATTCCTCTTCACTCTTTTTTTCCTCTACCTTCAATGCCTTACACTCTTATTAATCCCCCCCCCTTTTTAAAAAAAAATTCAGATAAATGGTCACCAGCTCTGCAAATCCGTACAGTGCTGCTATCAATCCAGGCTTTACTGAGTGCACCCAACCCTGACGATCCCCTAGCAAACGATGTTGCAGAGAAGTGGAAGTCCAGTGAAGCTGAAGCTATAGAAACAGGTGAGAGCTATGATCTGACCAGGTACAGCAGAGGGCTTATTACACATTAAGACTCAAGGAAACAAAACAATTTGGCAATTTTCATGCAGATTTTTGTTTTGTTGTGTTTTGCTCAAAATGATCTGTTCTTTACTGTCTTATCAGTTAACGAAATAACATGAAACTGTGATAGTCTAACGTATTATAGACATTAAGCTATACTCCAAATATAGTTTTAAGGAAAGGTTTTAATATAAAAAGGTAAGATTTTAAAATTTGTCAACAGGTTCTTCCATTGTTTATTATTTTGTCCTCACTTTGTGATTGGATACAGTGGCATAAAAGCGATGGAAGAGGGGCCCCTTGTGGTCATTTATGGTCTTTGCATGAATGGTATAAAAACTAAAAGTTGCAAATGGCAATAAGGGGACATAAAGGTGAAAATGTGATTTAGAATTTATCGCATTTGTTCAGAATTCACTGATGAGTCTCACATTAAAGCTTTGTTTAAAAATATAGTAAGGATGGTTGCCAGTGAGAGTCTTTGCAATATATATCAAAATGCAGGAAGCCCTCTTATGTAAATGTGGATCAGAGCCATATTGTAAGTTTTTACTCAGCTCATCTAATTATTGTTTTTGTTTTTTTTTAATATGCAGCCAAGTCATGGACCAGGCTTTATGCTGGAAACAAAAATGAAGTATAGAGCCACCTAACACACGGAGACACAAATGGAAGTCTAGTGTGGACACAACACCTCGTGTTCTGCCAGGACTTCTTGCTGCTTCATTTGCACTTACAGGTTTTATATGGATTTACCTGGCTTTTTTTTTTTTTTGTCCAGTGATTTTAGGAGGCTTTTGTCGAATGCTGCTTAAACACATCCAAGGAGGATGGCGTTCTGTCTCCCACGTTTTTGGGGATGTTATGGGTTTGTGGTGTCAGGAATGGGTGAGGAGGAGACACTGGCTAGATGTGGTCAATATTATATTTACATTTTATATATATTTTTAAACAGAATTTCCTTGTGTTGCTTTTTGTTGATTAAAAGCAGCTAAGTACTACTAGCACACTCTGTGGAGACACCCACCTGGGGACAGACCAGGGTTGAGTCCTGTGTGGTGCAGCAGGACACATAAGCAAGCAGCCATGCTTTCCTTAGTCTTAGCACAGTATATATTTTAGTTGTGAATTTTTCTTGCTGTTGCCATACTAAGTACTCAGCTTTTTTCATATGTCAAACAGTCTAATTCTATAGACTCAGTGGTTTAGTTTTCCTTATGGCATCTATTTAACTGACCTGGCTGAGACAAAATGCTGGGTTGTTACAGGAAGGATCAATGAAGACTAATGTTCGACTGTTGCTGTTGGTCTTTGAAAATTTCAATTCACTGTTTGTGAACACATTCCTTCTGTTAACTGGGAGAATAATTGTGTGTCTGCTCTCAGAACACTAAGAAACCATTCACCTCCAGATTTTTATGTTCTGTAAATACAATGTGTTGATTAATAAATACCTGCCTGACTGTAATTCTTAATGGGGAATGTATGAAAGGTGTGTCAAATACCTCTGTTGATGTATGTTGTAATTTTCTTCCAAGTTCCCGTAGGCAAAAACACAGCAGCAATATCAGCATGACAAACTAGCACAGACACTCATTATGCAGAAGGTCCCTGTTCTGTTGTGTTATATATAGTATGTTGGAAAATAGGTCTGCATGATTCACGCCACTGTCATTTTATGATCTTTGCAGATAATGGTGTCTTCCTTGTCTCTTCACAAATCATTTAAATCCTCAACATGAGCCATAGCACTGTTTTGGTTCTGGATCAGCATCACTTCCAACCTTCATAATGATTAAGACTTCTGTACCATTTGGAAATTATTAATTGTTCTGGTTGCTGCAAGATATCAGTCATTAGGATTGTCCATGACCTGATTTTGGAGACTGTATGAATAAACAGACATCCAACTATTTGGGCGTAGTCTGTATTTTAAACATCTCTAAACATTTTCACATTTGAACGCATCCTGTGATTTAAGGACAGTCCTCATCCACTAGAGGGAAACCCTGGACTTGGTAGCGTTTACACTCAGCGGTACAGGCTGCTGCAAATACCCAGCGAATGTTAGCACCAGGATGCTTCATTGGGTTTAACGCTTGCTTGTTTTGCTAGTTTCACCTTAAAACAGCAGGGGATGGGCCGTGACCCCTTCAGACACTGTATGGGCAATCTGTCAATGTGTTTAATCTAGCCTGTATAACATTATAGTGTATGTATGTATTCTTATAAAGTCGATAATAAATACAATTCTGAGATAAAACAACCAAATTTGAAATGGCCTGCTTTGTAAGTATAGCACACAAAATGCACTCCTTTCTTCAGAGTACCTTGGCATTGGGGCTGAAATAGAAAAGCACTTAAAAGGAGCTTTAGTTATTCGGAGAAACGCATCATTCATGCGCGCGTTGTTTTTAACGACGCAGCCGTGCGTAAAACCACGGTCTCGTGCAGCTGTCACCCCTATAAAGACACTTGATCCACGTTTGGATAATTAATTGTCTTGCACGTGAGCTTCAGTGACAGACAGCTCTCGGGTCAGCTGGTAGCAGCCCACCGGCCACAGATGTGAGTTTGTTCAATCATGCCTGTTGACAGCGGCGCTAATCCAGTCTGGCATTGTTTCATGGCACAGGAATGAATGAACGGAGTACACGAGTTTAACTGCGACTATCAGGAGAAGTAAAGTTGTGTGGCGACCCTGACCTGCCGCCGATGTTCATGTGTTCTATTGTGTGCAAATGGGTTTGACACTGTTGTTGAAAGCTGTGCATGTATTGGTTACCGTTGTTTCGGTGAAATACCCGCGCTGTTCTGTCCAATGTGGGGTTTGGGGAGGAACCAGTAGGGAGAGTATAAGAGGGGTAACAGGTGGGTGTATCAGGGTGATGGCAGTTGGCACTGAACATGGAATTCCCTGAGGGAGTGTTGCTACCACTTTCTTTTTCTGCTATTTTCTTTTTCCTGTGAGCACACGGTGCCAGGTATATCGCAGTTTCATTTTGCATTCTTATTCTGTTCAATAAAAGCCAAGAAAAGACAGAGAAGATGTTCTCCTCAATGCCAGCCTAGATGCCAGCACACAGCTGGATAGTTAGATGTCACAGTTTAGGATAGGGTCAGGCCAGCTCCGCTCATCCGAACCAGTGGAGTGCCACATTGGTGTCAGAAGTGGGATTGCGCGCTCGTTGAACGGCAACATGGAGAGGAGTCTGGCCGAATTAGAGAGGGAAATAGAGGAGAACACCCTCCAGCTGGGATGGCTGGAGAGAGGGCTATGCTGGGAGCCAAGGACCAGCGTTCGCCCAGATGGCGCGAGCGTGCCATGGCTAGCCCGACAGAGAGCCAGCAGCCACACGTCGGACTTGTCTGCAGCCAGGGCAGTGCCGAACTTTGGCGGTGAGTCGCACCTACCACAGAGGTCAGAACTAAAGCTGCCCAGCTACGAAGGACTGACCCCACTTGAACCATACTTGGCTCAGCTTCGACCTCTCCCCGGAGGAACAGACGGATCTGCCCGCCCTGAAGACAGCACTTCATCGGCGCTGCGGACAGAGTGTGTCAGCAGAGAGGTCCAGAGAGGAGCTAGCGGCTCGGCACCGTTGCGAGGGAGAGAGCCTGGGAGCCTTCGCCGCGGACCTGCAGCTGCTGGTGAGACAGGGCTACACGGCGTTCCCCGCGATGGCGAGGGCAGAGGTGGGGCTCCC